GGAAAGGGGAATCTGGAACCATTTACAGGGACCATGAACTGCTCTTGATTTTAGAATTAATACCTGGCTATTTTTCAGCCAGCATTTCACAACACTAAGACAATGGGGAAAATGAGATTTGATACTGCACTTTTAAATCCTACTTACTATACAGGGGCTGCTTTGAACTCCCAGCACGGGGGATAATTCCAAGCATTGGATTTTGAAGATGAGTGTGAGGGAGAGTATGTCTAGGCCACAACAATGCCATCCTCCTCAGCAACTGTGCTGTCTTGGGGAGTAAAATCAAGCCAAAATTTGTACACTAGGGTAAGGTATTTCTGTACAATTTGTAGCCAAATGTTCAGATTTGGGATTCTAAAAATAAAGCATAAAAATCCATGTTTAACACCTTTGAAAATGTGGCCTAAACTCGTTCTGTAGTCACGATCCAGCCAAATTGGTGATGAAATATTGATTATGGTGTCAAACATTAGGAACTGAAATGTTGGCTTGTGTGTTCCAGGCTTCCCTGATAGGTGCCCGACTAGCTAATAACTTGTAATATGTCAACATGATGGAAGTGGTGTTCACTGTGGAGGAAAAATTTTCCCAAGCATGGATGGGAGTTAGGGGCCTGTTCCCTTTTGACTTTCTGTGGCAGCGTAGCTGCCCTTTGTGCCTTGGAAAATTGTCCCCCAGCACCTTGCTTTTGGGGTATGTTTAATTTTGTCATGTGCAGGATGCCAGCCCAATCTTCAGCTGGTGTAAATCAGCCCAATTCCCCATTATGTTCACCATGTGCCTGATCCAAAGCCCAATGGAAGGGAATAGCAGTCTCTCACTAAACTTCAATGGAGTGGGCCTCAGCTGAGGATGTGAAGCTCCTTCTCTCTCTCCTACTGAAGTTGTTCCACGTTAATGTCAGTGGTCCAATTAAATTGTTTAACTAGCCTACTGATTAGAGCATTCACCAGAGAGGTGGCAGATCCCTGGTGAAATCCCTTCTGCCCCTCAGAAGGATGAGGAGGAATCAGGAATGCAGGGGGCAGTCACTAGCATGGGTTTACTAAGAATAAATCATGCCAAAACAGCTTAATTTCCTTCTTTGACAGGGTAACTGGTCTGTTGCACAAGGGATTGTGGTGGACATAACATACATGGACTTCAGCAAGGCTTTTGGCACAGTTCCACGTGATATTCTGATAAATAAGCTATGTAATTACTTAAGTAGATACATAATTGGTTAAACAACCACAAAGAGTAACTATCAATGATGTCAGATCAGAGGGCGTGTCTCAAGTGGGGTTTTACAGGGATCTGTTCTGGGTCTGGTGTGGTTAAACATCTTTATGAATGACCTGGATGTAGGAATAGAGAGCATACTGATCAAATTTGCAGATGATAGAAAGCTACAGGGAGTTGCCAACACTTTGAAGGACAGAGCTAAAATTCAGAGGGATCTTGATAGATTGGAGAACTGGGCTAGAGACAACAAAATGAAATTCAACAAAGACAAATGTCAGGTGCTACACTTAGGAAAGAAAAACCAAATGCACAAAGACAGAATGAGGGATAACTGGCTTGGCAGCAGCAATGCTGAGAGAAATCTGGGAACTGTTAAAGTTGTGATCCACCACATGCGTCAACAATGCAATGCTGTTGCAAAAAAAAGAAAAAGAATAAAAAGAAGCAAATGCAGTTTTAGGTTGCATTTACAAAGGCAAGTCACAGAAGGGGACGAGGTGCTGGTTAAGTCTCAGCTGGAGCAGTGTGTCTAATTCTGGCCACCAATGCATAGAAGGAACATAGGAAAGCGGGAAAGGATCCTGTCTAACCCTGTGATTCTATGATTCCGAGAGACAAGGGGCTTAGCACACAATCAGTGTCTTTGATTGGCTAGTTAAACAGCTTCCTGCTTAGCATGGCGGCTTTGTGGATCAGAGTATAAATCAGGCACCTAGTTCTCCCTGTCCACTGCCTAGACACACACCTCAGACTCGCTGGATCAGTCGTGTTCCTGTGATATTCCAAGCACCTCAAAAACTAGATGCCATGATACTTAGTGGTGTGACAGCCAAGTTCCTTTGTGGGTCTGGGCCCGATTTCCTGCTCACATTTAACAATGTAGCACTTATGTACTTCTGTGTAAGGGCCTTGGCTAGTAGTGCATTATCTATTGTCTTCAAGGAATGCTACCAACTTCCATTTTCTTAAACTTTTTTTTTAATTTCAGTTTGAGGCTCCTTTTAAGGACAGAATACAAATCAAAGGCTTGACTACACAGCCCAGAACTTGGCCCAGGAAGGCATGAACTTACGGTGGCTTTAAGACGCCTTTGAACTTTCCTGATCCAGGGCAGCTCTGGGGATTGGAGAGGTTCCCTAGAGCCTGAGTGAGGGCTTGTCTACACATGAAAGCTAATCTGGAAGAAGGCAGGATGTAGATTTAAAGTGAATAAACTATTTCTGATCAATTCTCACTTGTAGATGCTCTTATTCCAGAATTATGCTAATTCAGTCGGGCATTCTGCTCCCAAATAAGAGCATGCACTCATGGAGCTAATCAGGAATAGTTAATGAAGAATTGCTATTTCAAAATAACTCCCTGTAGACAAGGTAATAATATCTGCAGCCTCCACTCGCTGCCCTATGGACCACTGCACTGCTCAGAATCTCCACACCAATGGTCAGCAACCTGTCAGGGAGGGGCAGGAGCAGGAGCAGAGCACGAATCAGTGGATTCACAGTTCTCTGAAAGTGCGGGGAGAGAGAGGAAAAAGTAGGAAGTGTGGGGTTTCAGTGCCCCCATGCCATGTGGGAAGATGGCAGAGAGGTGTTGCGCGGGTCGCAGATAGAACCCCAGTGGACTGCAGGGATGGTACTTGGTCCTGCTGTGAGGGCAGGGGACTGGACTCGATGACCTCTCAAGGTCCCTTCCAGTTCTATGAGATGGTATATCTCCATATATTAGGTTGCCCACCACTGGAATCATGCAGCCCACTGAGACAAAGGAGGGCCACTCAGGTGGCCCACTCATTACTCTTTGTTTCCCATCCCTGCTCTACACATACCACAAGCAGGAGTCCTGCCTAGACACTCCCCTGACCTCCTGCACACGCCCTATAGTAGGGCATGTGAGGAGGTCTCAGAAGCATCTTTTGCCACGCCTGTGCTAGAGGAATGCTCCCCGGCTTAATATGGGGCTCTTGGGGTCCCTCTGTGCTAGACAGAAGGGCTGGAGCAGCATAAAGAGACCAGAGCTGGAATTTATGTTTAATAAGAGTCTTTTCTACAAGGCAAAAACGGACTAAAGATAGGGAAACAGTGAAACTGACTATACAGAGAGTGCTGTCAAAGGCAGGAGGCAAACAACTGAGAACACAGAAAAAGATTGCTGCAAACGTCTTTGAAATGCAGCAACCTCAGATATCAGTAACTACAGAACACACATTGCAGAGAGAAATGTGATTTTTCTTGACAACTCTGTCCCTTTAATTAGTCATCGTAGAGCATATGGTCAGAGACAGAAAGCTTGAGTACCTACCTGGCACTGGAACTGTCAAGAAATAATGTAGGAAACCTCAAAGACTCTGTTGCTTTCCTCAACAAGAAAGGGAAGAATCCCAATTGTGGTCGTGGTAAACCTAACAGGGGTTTTGTTAAAATCTCCAGCTACTCTACAACCACAAGAACGGCTGTATAACACACACGATACACATTACAACATTTTCCTTTTATATATGCACCCAGGCTACAATAACCAAAATGCAAGATTGATCCTTATTTTCTTTATCCTTTAAAGACACTTTCTCTGATGTGAAAAAAACCAAAACAGACATCCACCAAAGTAAATACATCTGAGCAGTGGTAATAGTGATGACGAGATTCCCCCTCTAATTAATCTGTTACTGAAGAAAGGGAGTTTTCTGAAGGACTGCTAACCCTCCCGTTAATATTCCGTGGAGTCAGAAACTGACTATTGATGCCTTCAACAGCTTCCTATTTCTTCCCATGAGGACTACAACATAATGGGCATGCTGTAATCATGCAAAATTTAGAATTCAAAATTACAGTAGAACCCGAGACCCTGCACAGTCACACAGCAGCTTGATGGGTTCTTCACCACTATTCAATGAATGTAAAAAGTCAGCTGTTTGTGGAGTACATGAATAAAAGAGCAAACAACTGTTTTCAAATCAGCAGGTATGGATAACTTTTAGAATAGCTGGCCGAGGAGCTCCCTGGGTCATTAATGCTAATGTTCAATAAACTGGAAGAAATCTAATGTGGTGCTGAAATTTAAAAAGGGTAAATAGGAGGATCTCACTCCAACACAGATCTAGGGTAAGATAACAGAGCAGTGTATACAAAAATTCAATTAATAAAGAATTAAAGGAGGGTAATATAATTAATGCCAATTGACTAGGGATGAAAAAGGTTCACTGGTTAACGGGTAAGCTGCACCTTTAATGGGTGAGACTTACCGGTTTAGGTTAAGCAGCAGAGTGCACTGCCTAGCCCCCTTGCTGCAGGTAATACAGGAGCCAGCTTCAGAGCCCGCAGCCCCTTTTTAAGTCTTTTACATCCCTACAATTGACATGTGCTTATTGAAAATAGGTGCTGTCTAACCGGATAGATTTTTTTGATGAGATTATCTAGACCAGAAAAAAAGGGAAAAGAAACAATGGATGCAGTTTAAAAAAAAAATGTTAAAAAACAGCATGAAAATAACATTAAAAAACCTGCGGGTACATACAGAATAGTAAACCCAAATCTTTATTGTCTCGGATTAGCCAGAACAACAAAGAGAAAAAGGCTTGGTTGGGACTCTGAGAAGTTCCTTGGTGTGTTAGGAACACAAGTGCCACCCCTTGTGATTTAGAGGGGGAGTTTTACAGTCAGAAGCGCAATAGTCGGAAAACAGAGGTTGCAATTCTGCACTGAGCTTCTAGAAGGCGCAATACAAAACTTGCAGCTCAGGAGAAGGAGGGCTAAGATGGTTTCAGACCACCATTGCACTCTCATAGTTCTGGGCTACTTGGGGGAGGGAAGGGGGGTGGTTGAAGCAACTTTCAGTGTTAGCCCTGAGCCTGGCTGCCTATAGTCAGTAGTACTGCCCAGGATCTCTACAGTTCTGTGATCATAGCCCAGTTATACTCTCCTGCCCTCAACATGCCATCTATACTAGTGCGTGTTAGGGATCCTGACAAGGCAGCCTCTGGCTGCTTTCCTCAGGTTCTTCCCTAACTAGATCAAGTGCCTTCATAACCTCTTTAGGCTGCTTCAGCCTTGTGACCCAGTTTACAGAGCCAAAAAGTAGGCTAGGGTTTCATTCAATAAATCAGTTGTCAGCTAATCCAAGAGGAGCGATACTATTACAGTGGAATTTTCAAAAGTTATCAAAACTGTCCTAACTCTGAAATCAGAGGTAAAATTCCCATTAATGTTGATGGGAGCAGCCAGACCAATGCAGAGTGTTTTTGAAAAAAACATCCTACTCCTCAGTGGGAAAGGTAAAGCTAACCTTATTTCTTCAATCCTTTTGTGTAGCAGTATCATCACACTGGCTATCCAGACATTAAAAATACTGGGATTCTTTAGTTTTATGTGGCTTGCCTATAATAGCAGTAGATTGGACTGGATAACCCAGGGAAGTCCTCCCTTCCTATGTTTATGTAGTTTAGTTATAGGGCACATGTGTTATTGGTAAGAGCATAAGCCTTAATTATTTCACAACTAATTAAAAGAAAGGTTTTCCCATTAGCATGAAACAGACATTTCTTTCTTTACTTCTTTTTAAGATTCCATTCCAAGTCAGAGACAAACATTTCTTTTTATATATTTCTTTACATTACAGGTTTATTCAAGAGACATTATTCACAAGCACATATACTGCAGATCTCATTGGGAAGATCTTAAGAATGGTAAGTCACTAGGTGCGTGAATCAGCAATAAACCTAGCAAACAACAACATGTCTAAAAAAAATCCCAGTGTGATTTCTTCTTTTAATATCAAAGCCCTGGACATTTAAATCCAAATCTCTAATACTGAATGAAGTTCACACCTAGAACTTTTAGTACAATGACAGTCCATTTATAAAAAACAGGAGTTGCGAAGAGTTGCAAATTTACCTACACTTGATTTCTGAGACATGGATGGCAAGATGCGGGAGAAGTATCCGTGCATTTGAAATATGCTATATCGAACAACCAAGTAATTTTGTGCTTCAATATTTTGATTGAAAAGTCTCCTTATCCAGCATAAAGTCTGCGAATCTCTGCTGGAGCTCCTTCTCTCGCTCTTGCTGCCGCTGCACGTCTTCTTTTAGACACTAATAGGAAAACAAAGTAACAGCTGGTCAGTTCTCCCACAACTGCACTCTCACACACTGAGTTAGCATGGATTATATTTTTCCTTAAGATCAAAGAGTGTCGGTTTGAGATAGAAATGCTATTTGATTGGTTTAGAAACACATGAATTGCCAAACTGGATCAGAGCCATGGTCCATCTAGTCCAGTGTCCTGTCCTAGGGTAGCTTTCCCCACCCCCTACCCCCAGTTGCTGCAGCAGAATTGCAAGAAGCCTTGCACAGGTATGGAAAGACGCACTCCCCATATAGGGTCTCCCCTAATGCCTGGTTCAATTAGTTTAAATCCCATGTCTGAGATGTAATGTCTCTTCCAAATTCTGTTTGTATTAGTTTATTTTTAGCTTTTTGACTCTTGCCAAGTTTTTGGCCTCAGCAACAACCTGTGCCAAGAGTTCCACAGTTCAATTACACTGCGTGAAAAAGGATTTCCTTTTATTGGCTTTGCCAGTTTTAACTAGAGCCAATGGGAAGATGACAACAATTTTATTTTGCGGTTCCTTCCTTTCAAAATTTGCTTTCACTCTGCAGTGGATCAAGTTGAGAGTGATCAGGCCATGTATACAATTAAAATGCTACTATGCTGCTGTTGCACATTCACTTCTGACCGGAGGGCTTCTCCCATCTCTGTAGTTAATCCATTACCCTAAGAGGCAGTAGTCAGGTGGACAGAATAATTCTTCGGTTGACCTAGTAATGTTGGATGTCAATATTGAAAAAAAATCCCAGTAGAGTGATCATGCTCATTCTCAGAGGCAAATTAATGTATCTACACTTCAGATAGCTACATGGTGTTAGTGCTTTTAAATGACACACAACTGTGAAAGTCAAGTGTCTTTAACCTCTTATAAAAATATCCTCTTTTCAAACCGCTAAAGTTATGCTGCTTGTAGCAAGCATTCCTTTTTATCTGAAACAACCTCGTTCAAACTGAACCTTTTTCATTGTGTACGAACAGATAAAGAAAGCAGGCACCTAATTTCCCATGTTGTTATACCACACAGTAATATGCCATTCTGATATGGTTCCTCTACCACTTTTTCTTTTAAATTCTAATTTAAAAACATGACCGTAGCCATATTCCTCTTCGTTAAGGCTAATATATGAAGACATAACAGGCCTCTATGGTATAAACTGTCAGATTCATAGTGAATCTATACAATCTATATATATGAGAGAGAGAGAGAGAGAGACTGACTGACTGTCTGTCCATTTGTTCAATAGATCCTCCTAAACGGTAAGAGCTAGGACCACCAAATTTGGTATATGCAGCTTCCTCTGATCATAACTTAAAACAACATAAGGGTTTGGTTGTGCCAGGAAAATGGGATGTGCCTGGAATGGGATTGCGTCTCATAAACCAGAAAAGAGACAGACTCCCCAGGCAGGTGAAAGGGGCTGGCTGGGACTTCCATCCCCCATTCTCTCATCCAGGACTGCCCAATCCCTGAGCCTCCCACCCCCCCCAGGTGTCCTTTAGATTCCTTCCCATCTCCCAATTCAGGGAGTGAGGGGAAAGTGCACAGTTTACTGCATTCCTCACTCTGGCAGGAAAGCATGGGGAATGGATGAACCTGGATCTGCCCCAACTGAGGGACATGCACGTCCACCCCCAACTTTGCCCGCTGGAGCTGCTGCAGCCCTGGAGAGGCACTTTTCACCTGGCCCCAAGCTGCTGCAGAGAGAGAGGGCTGGGGATGTCCTCTCTCCCTGGGGCAACCTGCATACTGAACCCCTCATCTCCAGCCACACCCCAGAACAATGATTTAAATGAAAAAAAAATTGAGTTAAGGTCGAGCAACATTGGGTAAATCTTCTAGTGTATTAGAACAGTCAACTAAAAATAACTAAGCAACATATAACTTGGTTAAATCAAACAGCACTTGTTGTAGGAGATTAAAAACCAAAGCACAAACTAAACACAGGTGGGAGAAGCAGCAGCAATAAAAAGATCAGGCTCCGCTTTAACATGCCAGAGAATCTGAGACACCACAACGATGGGAAACAGTGTAAGATAATTATGAAGAAGAAAAGACCTTGACATTAATTTAAAGAAATGCTCTACTTAAAAAAATTAACGTAGACAAGGAGCAGCAGCAGTGCATGCAAATTTAACAGTTAAACAAACATTTCTCTGTTTCTGTGCTTCTAGACGATCCAATAAGTGGTGTTTAGGAATCCTACCTCTAGTCTCCTGGGAATGGCAGCATCTTCGTGTTTCTTTAACTCCTCAAAAGTACGTAACTCGAGATAAGCTTGTTCAATCTGGTCCCACAAATCACTTAACTGTTTGATGAGCCCCATTGCCCGAGACTGGTAACCACCAAGCAAAATCTTCATCTTCTTTTCCATCTTGGCAGCCCTCTTAGCTTCTGTGGTCATGTGTCCTCTGTTTATCTATAGAAAAGAAACAAATCTGTGTATTATTCATGCAGAACAATGCTAAATCCTTCTATTTCTATAGAGCAATAACCCATGGCAGACGAGACATTATTGGACTAAAACCTTAAAGCAAGGAGCAGATTTTCCTACTGCAATGACCCCTAGAAAACACTAGCATCGTTATAGTCTATCAGAGTACAGTTTTAGACAAAGATTGTTAAAAAAATTGTGCTGAGTGGACAGCAGGGCCACAGTACATGTAGCTCATGGCTGCATACCAACTCTCAAGGGTATAGCCGGGAGAGAAATCTCTACAACGCTACAGAAAATAAAATAAAGCAGATTAATATTTTCTGCTTTTTAAATATTACACACTTTACCTATAAAGGCTGCCAAAACCTTCAATCTGACTCCCCTTAACTTCCTACCTCCACTATGTCCCATTTAACTTGCTCTTTTGCATTAAAAAAATGTAGAGCAACTCCCATTTCATATTTCTGTAATAAAAGCACAATTAAAAAAAACACAGTTGCCTCCGCAATAGCACCACCATCACCACTTACTTATGTGGTAGCTTTTCACTTATTGATCTTAACACACTGTAGAAAAACGGGAAAGTAACATGGTATCTGTCCTATTGACAGATAAGAAGAGAGGGGTAAAATGATTTGTCCAAGATCACACAGCAAGCTAGACATAGAGCAGGAGAAGGACTCAAAACTCCTGAACTGGAATCCAGGACCAAGTGCAGCAAATAGGGCGGGTGAACAGTAAAAAAGTAGTACAGACACACCAGAATGACTGGTACATTAGAAAGAAGTGATCTCTTTCTGAAGCATCATTTTTGGATAGTGCCAACAGTGGGGCTCTGGGTCATAAGACATGTAATCGGGGAGGAGTTAAAGCTATTATAACCCTAAATATATCAAAGCAGCAGAGAAGACATGGTTTATACTTGTTTTCCCAATGCTTTACTTTCATCTTTGCTTAGTGGAAAGACATCCTGTCTAATTCCCTGCCCAAACTAGACTTTAAAGCTATTCTATAAGAAATTTCAAATTCTAACAGCATACACAACAGCACTCCTGCACTAGTGCTGCGGTTCAATTATGCACTAAAATGAGAGAAACAAATCTGCATCATGGTAGAGGCCCTCTAGTTACCAGAATTTGATTCTTATTCCTGGGGTCTTGCTCCACGGAGACACCTTAACCCAAGAGAGTGCTGCCCAGGCCTCTAAAGCATTCCTGTGGTAGCTACAATCCGGGATCAGTTGTATGGCACTGCCCCTTTGAAACGCCACCATGGCATTTCAAAGCAGCAGCACTGTCCCGAGCTCTGTGCTTGAAATACCCCCCACTTGCCCCCTCTATCTGATAGAGGCAGCAAGGGGGAGGGAGAAGCAACTAGTTGACTATCCTGTAGACTATCCGATAAGCATTTGCCTATCGGATAGTTGACTAGTCCTTAACATCCCTACTCTAGAACTAAGATTAAATTAAGAGTCTTTTAACACATACCAGTATTTTAATAGGCAAACTACAGAAAAACAAGGAAATTGTCAGGGGGCCACACTGATAACAGGACATGGGTGAGAGATTTGCACTTCTGAACTGCCTAGCTAGCCAACACAAGTTAAGAGTGAAATGGACTGCTGCTCTAGTCAATGCATTTTCAGGGTATCTAGAGTAATGGAGATCAAACTTTTTCAGCTGAGCCCTCACTTTGAGTTACAATTTCTAGTTGCACCTCCCAATCCAGCCAAAGAGAGACATGATACCGGCTCCTTCCCTCTCAGATGTTCAGGATGGGGGAAGGTGCGTGTGTTGGTTTCTGGCGGTGGAGCCAGCAAGGAGGCTGCTGTGAGCAGAAATCAGTGCAGCCACCATTGATATTGACACTGATCAACACGCTGCGTGGCTCACTGAGGTGACTCAGGGGCTGGAAGTGATACTTCCTTCCCAAGCCACTTGGCATCGCTGGCCCAAGCTACCTGCCATCACCACTTACCATCCCCTCCCCAGGGGGGCATGCCACCCAGTTTGAAAACCTCTGATCAAGAGTATGTGAAGAGGTGACCCTTTCTCAACATTTGCAAAGATCTTTAAAAAAATTCACAAATAAATAAATGAATCTTCCTAGGATTACTTTATATCGAAAAAAAAAACCCCATATGAAAACTTTAATGTGCAGGTGGTTAAACGTATTGTTCATCAACAAATAGAGAGATGTAGTAAATAAACCATTTTTAAATTATTACCAATATTAAAAAACAAGTGTTAGGATCAATTTATACTTGGATGCCACAGAATTGAAAGATTAGAGAATTCTGATATAATGAAACTCTACTCAGAGAAAAACAACGAGAAGTCCTGTGGCACCTTATCGACTAACAGATTTCTTTGAGCATAAGCTTTTGTGGGCAAAGACCCAGTTTGTCAGATGCATGTATTGAAAATTCCAGAGGCAGGTATAAATATACAGGCACATGAAAAGAAGGGATGTATCTGTATATTTATATCTGCTTTTGGAATTTCCACTACATACATCTGACGAAGTGGGTCTTTGCCCACGAAAGCCTATGCTCCAATAAATCTGTTACTCTATAAGGTGCCACGGGACTTCTTGTTGTTTATGCAGATTCAGACTAACATAGCTACCCCTCTGACACTTAGAGCAAAGGAGACCAGAATACTACATTATTGCATTGTAATACAGTTCACAAAAGCCAATCTCCACTTACAATGAAGGTTCTCACAGGAAGAGGCTGGAAATGACTTCACTATAAAAGAGAAGGATTGTATAGCAGAACCAAGTTTGCTTTACAGAACTTCCCACTAAAATGCTGAACACCTAACACTGAAGTAGTGCAAACATCTCCATTTTACAGATAAGGAAGCTGAGGCAAAGGGATTACAAGACTGCAGGGTGAGTCAGTTGCAGAAGTTAGGCGTTCTTGGTATGTTACCACAATCCCAGCCATAGCAGCCATAGGCTGGCCCCATATAAACAAATCTTACTAATTCTAACACCTTTGAAAGGTCAGAATTGAGTGCAGAATCTCTATTTCCTTCTAGATACAGATTCTTACTTATGTACAGATTCTCAAGCTGCCATTCATTCCGTGCTTTTCTGAACTGCGTCCTGCTTATCTAGGTAATCACAGATCCCCCTCAGTGTAATAATGGGTGCTTCCTAAGAAATTAAAAACAGAAACAATATATATCCCTTCCTTCCTAGCCTGTAACTGAGAAACTGGTAGATTCCTCACCTTTCCCGCTTACATGTACACTAAAAGACTCGAGGACCCTATGGAAGGGATGGGGAGGAGGGATTTGTAACAAATTCTGTGTTATTAAAAATTACTGACTGATGCATTAATGCCAACGATTGCATATAATTTTAGTGCTAACTTCATAAAATGTCAAGGCTCAGATACCAGGCTAAAACTCAAAGCTGTTACGGAGAGGTGTGTTTAAATGCATTCTTTACTTAAAACTCAGAAATGGATTTAAGCAAAGTCTGACAACTGGTTTCCTCATGAAAATACCAGGAAAATTAACAACACTTGAAGGATTTCTCTGCTTAGTTACTTATTTCCTATTATTGCTGGGCCAATTTTGGTCATGATGCCTGATGCATCCACTATTCTGGACCAGAACAATGTGCACACGCATGGGGAAAATGATGCAATATAACTGGATCTTGGTAAAACCTTTGTATAATTTAAAAAGACACAGGAACTATCTGCTTCCAGCCCATGTACTGTATTTATTTCTGCAGACGTGCACTGGATCCTTTGGCAGCAAACCTGGAGCTACCTACAAAACCATTCACCAGGGAGGACTTCAGGCACAATCACTATCAATATACAACCTTTCCCTTTCCTCCAAATTCCTGGCTCATGGTCCAGGGAAGGAGGGACCAGAGGTCAGTTCTGTGGGGTGAAGGTAGGAAATGGGAAGGTATCTGGAATGAGTATGTGTTAGAAAAGTTATGGGAATGGAGATTTCCTGTGGAGTGGGAGGAGGAAAATTTATTTGTGCTCCCAACAGGGCTGCAATATCTATATTAACAGATTCCAAGGCCAAAAGGGACTATTGTGATCTTCTAGTCTAAACTCCTGTACAGCACAGGCCATAGAACTCCCCCAAAATAATACCTAGAGCAGATCTTTTAGAAAAAATCCTCCAGTCTTGATAACTCTGAAAATTGATAACTCTGGAGAACCTGGGTGTCACCACAAAGCTCTAGTAGTATGAAGCAGAGTGTAGCCCCATACCATGTAATACAGAACATGAGTTAAATTTCACTACTCTTTCAAACTAACCCTTGTAAACTAAGACCCCCAGCATCCAGGGTCCTCTGACGCAGGGAGCTCTTTCCAGGCCAGTATCAGCAGTCAGTTGTTTAGGCTGTAGACCAGTTCAAACAAAAGATCACAAGAATTTATTTTTTTAAATAAAATGTTTTTCCTTCCATGCTCCTCATACTCACAAATGACGGTACCATTATTTTCTGCCAATAAATCAGTTTTGAGCAAAGGCCAGGTATGGAAAGTTTCAGTCCTAGATATGAAAACTTAAACAAGTGATTGGAAAAGAGGGGGAGTTATACAATCTTAGGTTTCTGTGCCACTCCCGCTTTAACAAAACAAAGCAGAGCCCTAGGATTTCTTGACTAGATGAACACTGTGCAAGGACAGTCTTGTGGTTAAGGTATAGGACTGGGACTCAGGAGTTCTTGATTCATTTCTTACCCCTGCCACACACTGTGTGGGGCACTTTAGGCAACTCACCAATAGCTCCAGGCCTCAGTTCCTCATCTTCTTTCCTTCAAGCATCTTTTTGTTTTTTTGCCTATTCAGATTGCAAACCCTTGGGGCAGGTCCCATCTCTCACTATCTTACTAGCATAATGGGGACCTAATCTCAGCTAAAGACCAGGGTCTACTGTAATAAAACAACAATGGTTTTAAATAGCCTGCCAGGTCAGACAGTAAAGGCTGCTATCTTC